GTCAATGCGTTGGTGCATCAGTTCAAATTTTTGGTTTATCATGCGTCCCAATTTGCCTTTGATTGCGTCTATGAAAAGTTTACGATCAAAAACTTGGGAGCTTGCTCCCCCCTTGTTTGCCATGGTGAAGTATAGGATAAAAAAATAATAATGGAAAGAAGCAATGTTTACCTCGCACACTTCCTCACGTGTTTAATCTCGCTCTCATGTTTGAACACTCTAATGAACTCATCAAGGTGTTTTCAAGGCTCCTCGGTCAACTCCTTGAAGAAGTTAGAACTTCTCCTAGTGTGGTTCGACTTACCAACCAAGGTCACAAGATTGTAGCACTTTGAACGAAAAAGAACAAAAGATGAAGGGACTGACCACAACTCAATGAATGACTCAAAATTGAAATTTAAGGATCCTACACAAAACTCTACTCGAAACTGAAACTTTGAGCTGCTGGTTGCTGTATTTCTGGTCAGTATTTTGGTAGGTAAATGGACACTTAGAGGATTCAGAATGACACTTAAAACTGTCCTAATGATGCACGAAAATTTTTAAAATTAATGATTGGACAGAAATTCTCCAACGGTTGCAAAGATGGAATCCGAATGAAAAAGAAATTTGTGTTGCGGTGGGATTGTTTTGGAAACCCAAGGCTGACTTTTCTTCCTTAATCCTTTGGAAACAAGGATTAATCTTCCTATTTACTGGTTCCCACGAATTCTAAGATCAAGATCAAGATTGGAACTGATTTGTTTGTTTTTGGGAACGAAAATTTGACTTGAACGGGTTGAAAAATTTGACTTTGAATAGATTGAAAATTTTGACTTGAATAATCTAAAAAAAATTGACTTGACTTGGGGCCTCTTAGACAACAATATTTCGATGGTCAGCTTTTAGGAAGACATTTATCACAATCAATAGTCAAATTTGAAAGTTTTCAAGAGTCAAATTTCGTGGCTTAGGAAGGCTGATTTTCAAGAGTCAAATTTTATGGCTGAATGTTCTTCTTCTTATAAATCGTCAATTCTGGAGGCTTTCAAGAGTCAAATTTTGTGGTTTAAATGTTCTTGATTAAAAAAGAAGATTGTTGTGATGAAGACAAGGATTTTGGCAGCTGGAATTTTGCAGCCTTGTTGTTTACCAAGATTTGGTTCCTAAAACCCAGAAATTTCAAGATTCTTTCAAGAATTCAAGATGTTAATTTCCAGAATTCAAGAAACACGAAATTGAAGATGATTTCCTCCCCAAACAATCCAAGATTTCACGATTTGATCAAGACAGATTTTGGTTGGTTTCAAGAATCCCAACTAATGTTCCAAGAACTTCAAGATTGTGGTTTTAAACAATCAAGAACTTCAAGAAACCCAAGTTTTGATCAAGACAGATTTCCAAGAATTTTGTATGGTCAGCCGGCTATATTCTTTTTTTTATGTAAACAACAAGAACATAAAGTAACAACTAGATAGGACTCTAAAACCCTTGCTACAAATTGATTTTTTCGGATGAACAGTAACCTCGGATAATCAAATAGAACAAAAAATTGGAATTAAATGGATATAACAGAATAGAAAAAAGACACAAACACAAAGAATCAAGAATAAGACACAAAAAAAGGCTGGACCAAACAAGACTAACCACAGTAATTAACAACAACTAGACGCAAGTTTATGATGCGACAAATCTGGAAAAATAACGCAAGAACACGATACAACAAATCTGAAAATTGTGAATAGCAAACTTAGAACACGAAACAGAATTTTGGACAACTTGACTCGAAAAGGAAATAAATAAAGGGATACAACGTGATACCTCTTAACTAGCTCTAATTACCAACTGATACGAACGTCGCCAATCTTGTGACGAAACCTGTAAAAGATTAGTTTCAGGATCGACAAAAGGATACCAAGTTTGGAGCGGATGACCTCAACCCGTTAATCACGTGGTTAACAAACCTTGGTATAATGGTAGAAGACGTCACAACCTAGTGCGATTCTAGATTGATAAGTCACGAACACCTAGAGAAATTTTAAGGTATTCAAGAAGCCTTGGAGAAACCAAGAAAACTCTCAAAATCTGATTTATTGATTGAATGCCTAAAACCGTTGGAAGTGTGGGCTATTTATAGCCTTACATAGAGATGAAAAACTAAATAATGTGGAACTAGTCTAGAATTGTGGGTTTGACTAAAACTAAGAATTGTAGACTTGACTATTTTCATAAGACTAAGAATTGTGAGATTGACCGAACCTTATAAGGTCATCCCTTAGGTAAATAAAGCAAGGTTATAGACCATTAAACCCTTATTACAATGACTTAACTAAAACAGTAAATGTGACTAGAGAAGGGTCACACATGGTTCTCTTTGACGTGCACCACATGGATGACCTTCATTCCTTTATGCTCAAGTCCCTCAATGACCTTGGGGACAATTTCTTGGTCTTGTATCTCACGAACAAGCCCTTGGAGTTCCTCCCTCATCTTCTTAGCTCGTGCTCGAGTCACGGGTCTTATGGGAACTCGAATAGTTTGCAATGGTGTCTCTTGGTTCGTATCAGCCTAAGTATACAACGTTATAAGAAAAATTGTCAATTAGTCAATATGTTGACTAAAAATTCATAATTTCAATCATCAACTGTATGTGATGAAAATCTTTTCTTATCAAATATTTGGACTGTTGTGGCTATTCCCAAATATATAATGTAAAAGTGAATTCTTAACATGGCATCTTGTTATTTGTCAATAGTCAAAAACTTTATGTTGACCGAATTTCATTGAATTTTTCTTTCCTTTTATAATCATTTAAAATTGTGTGATTAAAGTTCTTTACACCGTATATTTGAGATGCTGTGGTTACTCCCAAATATACGATGCAAGAAAACTTCTAATGAAAATTCATAAAAAATAAGTAGTCAACTTGTTGACTAGAAATCCTTGATTTTAATCACTAAACTATATGTGATCAAAATTTTAGTACACCAATGTTTGAGATGCTATAACTACTCTCAAACATAAAGTGTGCTAGACTTTATAAGGATATCAAATTAGCCAAAAAAAATCTGTATTTTGACAAAAGAATTTCATAATTTCCTTTTTTTTATATTCATTTTTTTAACCACCAGCCTTTATGTGATTAAAATACTTCATGCATCAAATAATTCAGATGCAAGACACACTTTATAAAGGAAATTTTCTAAAATTTAAATGTAGGAAAAATGACATGTTTCGTCCCTCACATTTTGTAAAAAAATTCTTTTCGTCCCTCATATTTAAAACGAAACAAATTGGTCCTTCACATTTAAAAATCCAAACGTTTACATCCTAGAAATCAACTCTCAGTTGTGAATCAAATCATCTAACAACCCGGTTACAAATTTTAGAGGTAGAATGGGTAGTTCACTCGCAAAAATATATTTCTAACAAATAAATTAAACAATTAAAAAATCTTAATTAGCTTTTGCAGAAAACTTTTCAATCCTGAAATCTTAATTCTTTTCAGGATCATCCACCCACAACTCTCTATCCCATGCACTTTTCAATCCTGAAAACCAAACACTTACTCATGATAAACTCCCAGATGTGGGCAAAATATGAACAATAAAAAAAAATAGATGCTCAAGTGACTCCTGTGCAGCAGAGTAGAAACAACAGCCTGTATCAACCACTAATCCCCAAGCCGACAAGCCATCCCTGGTATCTACAAGCTAACCACAATATAAAGGCATGCCAAGGGACGTGTTTTCTACCTCACACAATGTCAAACTGTGAAAGTTTACCCTGTGAAGTAACTAGTTTCTTCTTGGCTGATTTGATAGTGAAATTACCTATTGTAGAAGGCAACCAAACTGCAGCATCAGAAGCATCTCTTAAGAGGCAAGGAAAAAGAAGTAGCAGCCTGGACCAGGTTCAAGGTACACCCCCCTCTTTTCAACTTTTTCGTGCCTTAAGTTAAAACGTTGAAAGTGCAAAAAGCTAATAATTAAATATATATTACCCGAAAGAAGTACATTATACATAACAAGACGTCAGTGTATATTTCCTATTGCCCCAGTCACACGTACTACAATTTTACAGAAAACTTAATAAATGGCCACAGAAGCTCTTGCAGAAAACTTGAAAGAAACTTAGCCTAAGCTGGAATAAGCTGGATTGAATTACCAAATTTGCAAAAGATAAGCTGGAATGAAGTTCTAACGTTGCACAATAAAGTAGCAGTGATTGATTACAAACCAAAATGCAAAAGAAAACTGGGTTCAAGCTGAAAAATTACAAAAGATAAGCTGGAATGAACTTCTAGTATTGCAAAATAAAGTAGCAGTACTTGATTACTAACCAAAATGCCAAAGAAACTAGGTCCAAAACATCTTTCTTAGGACAGTAGCAAAAGTGAAACTAAAACAGCAGTAGCAGTCAAAAAATTGCTTCAATGACACTTGCTTAGTTGGAACACTATGTGAAGTCCAACTGCACAACTGATATTCTTTCAATAAAGTGCATTCCTATAAAGAGCAGCAATGGTGGAAGGACATGTGCGCCTTGTATGGTTGACTCTGCGACACACTCCACACTTGTAGTTCTTTTCACCATTCGATTCCTGGGCAAGAAAAGCAATAGAAAAAGGTTAGTCTATTGAAAATGAATATGATACTACAAAATTACGTTGAAATAATTACAAAATTGAATTTACTGAACTAGAACATGGTTTCTATTTTCGGAGACTTGACTGGATGTAAATAAAATTGATGTATTCTGTCTTGCCATTGGTGCTTCTGGCATAAATCCTTCATGAGAAGATGTGCTGCTAGCAGGCACACCAGTGGCATTTTTATTTTTCTTATTTGAAACAAAAGCAGTTTCTCTAGTATGAACTTGACTCCTTTCATTTATTTCAACCATCAATGCATTTGTGACTATTGTGACCAGTCATCTTGCATTTCCTGCACTTGTAAGACATCAGGCCTATTCTACTCAACTTCTGCACCTGCTTTGAATTCTTCTTAGGAGCTGGTACTTCATCTGGCTCCCTCCTTCTTACTTAGTCTTCCAGGCAACTTGATTTTTTCCGGAGGAAGCAAAGGACCCTTGTTTGCCTTTGGCCATAATTCTTCTCCATCCATAGGGCCTATAACTGGAGAGTAGGCCCTCATATAGGCTTCCTTTGAATAACAGTCATGAACAAAAGTTTTAGGTTCTTCATCTGTCAAAGTGATGGCACTATATGCATGTGAACAAGGTATTCCACTGAGGTCCCATTTTCTACAACTACAAGTTCTACTTGCCAAATCCACAGTATATCTATCCCTATACATGCATCTAACTTCATATTTCCACACTCCAGCTGTAGTAGCAATACATGTCCGAGCATTATCTTTAATTTTTTTCAAACTTTTTTGTATCTTGGGACATAGCTGACCTTTTTGCTTCTTCATCCACTCTCTTTTTTTCTCCATCCTAACCATCAATTAGAATCTGATGGTCTCTAGCATACCAATTATTGGTTGTTCCCTAGCATCCAAAATTATAGAGTTGAAACTCTCACATAAGTTATTCAGAAGGATGTCACACTTGGAAAGTATCCTAAAGTGTGATCTGGTCCACTCCTTTGGTGTTGTATGTTTCACTAGCCAATTGAATGCTTCTACATCGAACTCCTTCAATGATTCCATTTCACTAGCAAATCTGCTTTCATAGGAAGCTCTTGCAGCAGACCATATTCTATCTTTTAATGCAAGGCCAGGATGCTCTTTCTTGAAGTTATTATACATGTGTCTCACACACATGCGGTGTTCCACACCCGGAAGTAGCTCATGTATTGCTTGAATGAGTCCCTAAAAATGGGTTATTTTCATTAATTAATTAGGCAAGAAAATATAATTATCCAATTCATAAGAGAAACTATAACTGACCTTTTGCTTATCAATCATGAAAGTCCACTTTCTTTCATTTGTGATATGAAGATCATGCTTCAATTCTGTGAGAAACCATCTCCATGTGTGCTTGTTTTCTATTTCAACAACTACATACATCACGGGGAATAATTGGTTGTTTGGATCTATCCCTAAAGCAGTAAGGAGAACTCCTTTGTGTGGCCCTCTAAGATGGCAGCCGTCAAGTCCTACAACAGGTCTGCAACCATCCAAAAACCCTCTCCTACAAGCATCAATACACAAATATAATCTTTTAAATTGATCATCACCCTCATCATTTTCTGTAGTAGTCATAAAAGCATTAGAGCTAGGATTTTTTCCTCAATTGCAAGACAGTAGTCCCATAGCTTGTTGTATTGCTTTGTGTACTTTCCCTCTATCAATTCCTTTGCTTTTGCTTTGGTTCTATATGCTACATTCCTAGTGATAGTTGCATTGACATCAGTATGAACTTTATTTACAAAGTCACCTGGTTTGTAATTGGGGTTCAACCTGAAGTCCTCCAAGTACTTGTCACATAAAAACTTAATATTTGCCATCCCATGATCTGATGTTCTTCCACAAGTGTGAGTTGTCATCATTGTCTTTATTATAAAGTCCCCAGTTTTATCTAATTTAGATGCATATGCAAACCAATTGCACCCTTTTCCCTTGCAATATGCTCTCACCCGTATCAAATCATCTTTTTTGAATCTGATTTTTCTACCCCACTTGACTCCATGTGCTCTGCATGCTTTTTTGAACAGCTGTTTATCAGTAAAAACAAGTTTCAATTTGAACTTTGGGTCATCCATGTCAGTTTTAGGATTAAACCTCTCATATTTTCTTGATTTAGAACAAATTCCCCCTTCGTTATCACTTGAACTTGAGTTGCTATCGAATTCCTTGTCTGTTGAAGAATCTGTCTCCTCAACACTATCAAAAGAAGTTTCTTCTATACCATTATATTTTTCGTGTCCAGCTTCAAGGTTGCTTTTATTCACCCTAAATTGATCAGCAATTTTAACCCAATCATTTTCCCTTTTACTAAAAGTCCTGTAAAATTCATCTTCATCACTAAAATCATAATCACTATCGTGGAACTTCTCCTCTCCACTTGATTCATCATCTTCCACTAAATGGTCTGACTTTCTTTTACTGATTTTTTTGCTATGACAAATTTTTTTACTATTCCTTCTCGTCTTCCTTGCTACACTAGCGTGTTTGCCTCTAGCACAATTAATAGGTGTACCATTAGTTTCACCTTCATTATTAGCAGTAGTAGTTTCATCTCTGCTAATCGCCCCATCAGCTTCACACTTGGGATTTTTATCTTCACCATCATAGCTGTCTTTATCATGGTCAACATGAGCTTCTTCTTGGGCATTACCATCAAGAAACGCTGTTTGCCTATGCACAAAAAAAAAACATCAACCATCTTTTTCCACTCCCCAATCCTTGCCAACTCCATTGCATCCTCTTCAGAGAATATGTAAAGCAAGCCATCTTGCATTCTTTGACCAGGTAGTAAGTAGTAATACCTAATAGAATGTTCTTCATATCCAAGCTCCTCTGCAATCTTTCGTTTGGTGAGGAACCCATCATTTTGACCAACCTAATACTCCAACTCATGACTCAATCTTAGCTCCTTTCTTTTTCCCTCAAGAAGAGAAGACACAAACAAAGACAAGGAGAAAAACTCCCCAACTCCAATTCTCGGCCCTCCTCTCTCCCAAGAATTTTCCAACACACCTTTCACCTTTGATTCTTATTTTAATGCAAACTGGTTCAATTTTTTTCTCTTTTCTTTTTTTTTCTTTTTTCTTCTTTTCTTTAGCTTTAATGATCAATAATTTTGTGGATTTTATGAAATAAATTGGTTGCTGGTGTTGTTGTAGTTTTTTGGAGTAAGCCATGAATAAAAATTAAGAAAAGAGAAATGGTCCTGTGAATGCATGTTAAATGTTTGTAAAAATGCCAAAATGAAAAATAAATCGAATTAATGAATTTTTGTGCATATTTTCAGTAGGATAGTTGGTTATAACTAGTGAGGGGCCTGAAAGATATTCGGTTATTCAAATTCTGGAGTTTTTGAGCCTCAAAAGGCATTGAAATATTTTTCTTCATTTTTTGGGCTGTTTTGCTTTAATGCATTGTTTTATTGTTTTTTTTTTCTAAACTATGATTATAGTTGTATTGTAGAAGTCACAAAGAGTGTATTGGTATAAATTTTATGATTTTTGGTGAAGGTTATAGTGATTTAAAAATAAAAACTGGGCTTTTTGGCAATTTCATTACTTTTGATCCATTTTTTGTAAAAATTAAGCCCAAAAACGGATTCTACGTGAAAAATTAAGTAGGAGGTGTATTTTGGTGAAATTTTGTGACCAGAAAATTAAGCTTTAGCCTGCCAGAAAAGAAGAAGAAAAGGGGAGGAGGAAGAAAGAAAAAGAAAGAAAATAAAAGAAAAAAAAGGGAGTGGGCTAATGTTTTCTTTCTGGTAGGCTAGTTTCTTTATTTTTGGTTGGGCTAGAGGTTTCTTTTTCTGGGTTTTCATCTGGACTTTGGGATAATTTTTTCGGTTAGGCTTGTTTCTCTTTTAATGAAGATAGCTTGCATTTTTCTTTTGGGTCGAAAACGTCTAGCCCAAGCAACTAAAAATAAATGGTCCAGAGCCTTTCTTCTTGCCCAAATTAGAAACTGAAATTTTTACTTTAACCCCTGATCTTTGAAGTAATTTTATTGTGGCCCATAAATTTTTGATTTATTTCAATTAGGCCCTTAATTTAATTGCAATTGGATCCCTAAATTTTATCTTTTGTTTAATTTTGACCTCTAAACTTTTTAAAAAAATTTTGCCCCAAAAATTTTCTAATATTTGCAATTTAGTCCCTTGTGACTTTTTGACTCTCTCTCTATTATAATTGTGTTTTTTCATCAATAGCTAATTATGTTACTTTTGAATGTATTCAACTTGTAATTTTTAGATGTCCTTAAGTTTCTTTATGTTTGATGTATTAATGTGAATTTAGTACTTTTATTATTATTATTATTTCAATTAAATTGGTGCCATGATTCTTTTGTTCATTTTGAGTATAAATAGGGCAATTTGACTCCATTTAATCACCACTTCAAAACGGAGGTACCCCTATTATTATTTAAATGTCAATTACGTGCTCTTATGTGTTTCTACATGTTCTTATGTGTTTATATATTTTTATATGCTTTGTTATTTATTTGATTCAAATGGTCATTCAAATTTTCTTATATTCGTTTAGTTAAGTTTTATAATTATTTGGGAAGTATTTAAATATTTCGAGATGTAATAGATAGGTAATATTTTTGAAAAATTATAATTAGATAGACAAATGTAATAGATAAGATAGATGAGTTTATTTTATTATATTTTTCCATTTTAGATTGTAATTAGGTCTCCTATTGTAATAGATAGGATAGATAGGTTTATTTTATTATATTTCCCCATTTTTGATTGTTGTTAGACTCCCCGCTGTAATAGGTAGGTTTTGTGTGTTTGCATGGCTTATGTGTTATGTGTTTTATCCGCTTTTCTTAGAATTTTTGCATCTAGATATTATGTTTATGTGTTACGTGCTATGTGCTCTTATGTGTTTATTTGTTTTAATTTATGCGATATTCGTTATTATTAATGCATGACGTCACCACACTAGTCCAATGCTAGTTGTGGCTTCTCACTCCACCTATTTGCTAGTCCAACGCTAGTAAGTACTTTTAGAAATGGGTTAGTCCAATGTTAGACCCTTAGATCGTTCATGCGTTACATTCATCTCTTGCGTGACATTTATTACATTTTCATGTACATTTTTTTTAGAATTTTTTTTCATTTGCATGATATTCCCTATTATATTATCCTTTACCCTCAACCCTCTATATGTATTAATCATACCATTAGAACTGCATCTCATTTAAGAAATTGCAAAATAAGTTTGTTCATTTGCTTGTATAAATTTGGAGAATTACTCTTTGAACATGAGAAATGGGTGATTATAACTTTTTAATTTAGATACCCCATTAATCCCTGTATAAGAAAATTATGTCACGAGTTTTTGCCTCCCATACCCATTATATTGCATCCCTTTTTCCTTGATCACTAATATTTATATATATAATCTAATTTTCTTTTCTTTTGAATTTCATTTTGCATATTCGTGACCCTTTCAAGGGATTATTTTGGCCTTCACAATTAATGCGATTGATATCAATTAAACCCTTGAATGGATATTTTGTCCCTTTCGATATTTTCTATAACTTTACATTTGCAGCCATGTAGGAAACATCCAAATATGATAAATTTAAGGGTTAGATTAGAAAATTTTTTACTAAACCTCGCACATAGTTTAGACTAGGTTGAAAGGGTGTCTTAGGTTCGAGTCGATCGAACCTTTGCCTTCCCTTTTTTCAATCGTAACTCCCAAACTCATTTTCTCTTATTTTCAAAGACCTAAAGTTGTTGAAAAGGGCTTTATTTTATTTTATTTTATTTTTGTTAAAAACATTTTTGAGTGATTTGGTACACCCAAACTCAATACCAAGTGGCGACTCCTATTTTTTCTTAAAAACCCTTTTAGACTAAATTTTGGGTCCAAACTGTCACATTCTTTAAAGTCTCATTCTAGGCCCTTTTTCACTTATTTTTAAATAAAAATCACGATGACAATTGAAGTGAATATTCATTGAAGGAGATTGTTTATTATTTTGAAGGATATAAGGGAGTGATTGGTGGAGTGTATAGTGATATTGAAGTGACTCCTAGAGGGAGCTTGTATCCTTGTATATTGATTGAGTTATTATATTATGACTTGAAATGTTTATTAAATATGTTATGTTGCTGAAATTTGCAGATTTATGTTACTTATTGATTGGTGGATTGTACAGTGATATTGAAGTGACTCCTAGACGGAGCTTGTATCCTTTTATATTGATTGAGTTATTATATTGTGACTTGAAATGTTTATTAAATATGTTATGTTGCTGAAATTTGCAAATTTATGTTACTTATTGATTTTTTTTAGGACCTCACTGGGTGTAAGTTCAATCCTTTAGTTTATTTTCCTTATAGGGTATGAGAGTGGAAGGAATAGAGATTTTCTATTTGTATCTTTTGCAGGCAATCTTGTATTTTGAGAATTAGTAGATAAACTCATACTCTAATCTTGTTGGGTTGTATATAAGTGTGAACGTCATAATTAATTGATGGAGTAAACAAACCCAATTTGGGAGTTCATTGTAGTGAGTTCTGGTAAGAGTTAGGCAGGCAGTCTGCTAAACCTTATGATGCATTTTAGGGTGAGGTGGGGTCATCACACTCTTTCAAGCTATTAACGAATACGTGTTGATTTGAAAAACTATCCCAAAACTCCAAAGATTCAAGTACCAGTTAGTCAGTATGAATCCATATACGCTTTCAAAATTTTGTTATTGATTTATTTCTCAGTAATCACCATAAAGTTTTCTGGATTCAATAGGTGATAGTTTTTACCAAAAGTTATTTTAATCAACCACTAGCAAGTAGTATCAAAGCCGATATGGTTGATTTTTGAGAAATAATTTGAATTTAATAATTTGTAATTTTCAAGTTTTTTGATAAAGAACTACAATTACTTTTGATTTTGTTTGCATGGCCATTGGTAGAAGAATCATTGTTTTCTCAGTTATGTGATTGTCACATGAACATGTGAAATTCATGTAGCGCTTGTGAAAATAGACTAATGACAATCATAAATTGTGGTTCTAATGCAATTTATGTGCTTGTGTCTTTGACTGAGTAACTCTATCTGGTTCATTATTTTGGTTACATATGAATCTAGTGGGTTCCGCCATAATCAATGGGCATGATGGACAATCAGTGTAGGATTCATTGTTTATTGTGATGCTCTCATCAGCCGATTCCCTATGTGTAACCAAACTTGAGAACCTTATACAAAGATATTGGTTTTCAAATTGAATAGTTTATGGCTTAATTTGGTTCAAGGAAATTAGAGTTTCTCTTCTTTGGGTGAATCCTAATAAAGTTAAATAAAACATTTGAGCCTCACAAAATCCAAAATATTGGCCCAATGAATATGTAGTCTTATAAGGCATTTATGGATTTAAAAAAGATTTTGGACTTAATTGATAAAGTATGGGTCAAGTTATGGATATGGATCTATGATCCAATAAATTTTGATCCATTTAACTGGTGTGTCCAGAATTGACTAGTTGACCAGATTTGATTGTTTTGACCACATCAACCATAGTTGATTTTGATCTAAAATTTTATATAATTTTAAATTTGAATATTGATATGATTATGTGTATATATATATATATATATTGGAATGAATTAATTGAAATAATATGCTACCAAAGTGACCTTTATTGCAGAAATTAATTTGTTTTAAAATATAACTAGTTGTGTACTTGTAGCTTTGTGAATATAGATTGACCTAAGGGAGATCAATATTTAACAAAATTACATATACATTTGTGGTAATAAACACGCGATGATTACTTGGATTTTATATGTGAATTATAAATTGCCCCAAAAAAAGATTTATTTTTTGACATGTTATTATCAGTGATTA